GTTGGAGTGGTTTAGGCCTCAGGATTTCTTTTAAATTAGAGGACAAATAAGAGCAGTGTTTTCAGTACAGATTTAGACTCTTCTTCACAGTGTGACACAGAAAGAAAATCCTCAGACCTTTTTTTAACAACACGCAAAAATTAGGCAGCTGTTTTACATTATTAGGTGTAATTTCAATGTGACAGAGCCAAGACTTCACAGTCACCGAATTTTATTCAGCGACGTAAACAAGATTAAAAAAAAAATAGAAAGAAATTTAAGCCCAGACGGACACAGCATGAAATTACATCTTTTTTCTTTAATTCTCCGCAGCTCGGAGGCAAAAATCTACATCCAGGTTGTTCATTACAGAGTTCACTACACCTGCTTGCAAGCACTCTCTGGTGTGCTTGAGCATGCAGTGTGTTTGTACTCTATCTTCCTTAATGCTTGTAATGCTCTGAGCTCTTTGTCACTGTCAGCCATTTTACCTCCACTGGTTCCACATTAGATTAGACAAATCCAAATCAAAATGGATGGTCCCAGTATAGAGTTTATATGTTAATCTGATCGTAAAGTATCATAACGCAACACGTGCCATTGCCAGCCTGAATTACAACAAGGATTTTGATGCTTAATTCAATCAAATGTTGTTTGAGAATCAGTCAAACCCTCTAGCACGTTACCTCTGAGTGAGAGAAAGGGAAAAAAATCACTCCCACCTGTCACAGAGATTGTTTCTTCTTTTCCTCTTTTTATTTTCTCTCACTAAGACTGCTTACTAGACTCTCAGCTCATCTCTCAATCTCTGTCTCCCTCACACACAGACTCTGGCTCGCTCTCCCCTTCTCGTGTTGTCAGCACAGCCCTGTTCCTGTTGCCTTCCTGATTCTGACACCTGTCAGCATTTTCGTTAGTAGATCAGAGAACTGCAAACTAGAAATGTTCCCGTGGTGAATTTAGGGCAAGTTTGCAGCAGGAACATGTGAGATGCCTTTACTCTTTCTTTAATTCAACAGGGAAAGGGAACTGCTTGACTGGCACAAAGTTGGGAGATGTGGGCTGGAGATGTTTGCAGTCAGTAGATGGAAACAGAAGAGAAAATAAAGATGGAGAGACATATGGAGGGAGAGAGAAAAAGCGAAAGAAAATCAATTAGGAACAGTGAAACCCTGTGGATCTGCTGATGGAAGAAGGGAATACGGAGAATTTTGCAGCCCACGGAGGGGGCTTCCATTCCTGGGTTCCAGCTTCAGGCACACCCCCACAGGGAGCTAACAGATAGATGAGAGATATTCTCTGGAGGTGGAGGCCAAGGAATATGTCAGAAATAAAAGAGGCCTGTTCCCTGCTCTGGCTAATTGAGCAGTCTTAGATCCCTTTGAGTTTAATAAGCCAAGAGAAAGTGATTTTATTTGAAGAACACTTACACGTTGACCTGGATACAATTCCAAAAGTGAGATCACAAAAATCTAAAGCCACAGATCGGACACTGTAAAATGACATCGTGCCCCCACCATTCCCCCCCGCAGAGATAACTCGAGCGATTTAGCGTTACATGAATCTTAATCCTTGAAATCCACAGCTCATCCATATCCATGTGAATTAAAATGTGAGCTATGACAATCAAAGGATGTCAAAAAAATAGATTAAGCCCCCTTTGTCACAGCTCCTTTAGAGTCGTCTCCTTTGCTTCTCCCTTGACACTAATAGTTCTACAGAGCTAAAGCTAGCATGTCGCACATTTCAACCAAATCCCCCCAACTTCACAGACATGCCTATAAAGATAACGAAGAATTCATTTTATATAGCTGCTCTTCTCAGTTTATAGTTGCAGCGATATCATTCATTTCTATTCTGTTGGCAGATACGAGGGGGGCCATTACATGTTAAAGATATCTCTTCCTTTATAGATTTTAAGAGATTTAATGTCATTTGTTCTTCAGATACTTCCTTAATCTAATCCACTGGGTGAGGATAGTTAAGGTCAGGTTTTCAAAAAGAGTACATACACACGTCTTTTTAGATTCTTGGCAGCGATTCAGCAAATTCACTCAGATTTAAGTCGAAAGTCTCTTCACAAGCACTTTGCTCAAAGTTACCTTGGTATTTGCTCGTGCAGGAACAATGAATAATGTTGTTGAAAAGGCATTACTGACAAAAAAGGCATACAACAGATGGACAAAAGCCAAATATGAAACTCCTAAATTGCTTTAGGTGGGGAAAATGCCCGCGTTGATATGGTGCCGGGCTAGTTAGCAGCTGAATCTCATCACGCGAATGGATTCCCGCATGAAAGTCAACAAGATGACATGGATGCAGGGCCGTTGTGTAACCGTAACAGATTGTCTCCTGGGCAAACAACATCTTTACATGACACTGGGAATAGTAAACGTTTGCACTGTAAAAGCCCGAGAGTTTAACCCTACCTCCCTTCCCGTTTCGGCTTCCTTTTGTTCTCAGCGCTTATCAACACAAGAAAACAGAACAATAAAAAACACACAAAAAACAAGCTTCTTCTCTCCTCAGCTTGTGCGTGTTGTTGTCCTTTGGCAATTGTAGTCTCTCAACATGTTTTGTGCTTTTGCTGGCAGGAGAGGTGCACTATACAACACAGTTACTCCCAGAAGACATCTAAACAGCGGGGTGTTTAGTGAACATGCCTATTTGTTTTCTGACAATTCCCTCCACTCACTCACCAGAACTGGCAGATAGTGTCCATTTTTGTCAATTAAAACAGATGAGCTCAACTACTTCTATATTGTAGAAACCTTTCTGCCTTTGTACTCAAGACACTTTAAGCAGAAGGGGAGAAAAAAAGCGTGAAAACGAAAAAGCTGGCCTTCTCCTGAGAAACAACAACAACAAAAAAGAAGAGGATATTGTCAAATCCTGATACGCCAGGAGACAGGACCATGCATCATGGCGAACCAGCCCATAATGTCATCCTACCATGCCCTTTACCCGTGTAATTAGACCGTTGAGATTGCAATAGAAAGATGATTTCATTTGGAATGTCATTACATTTCCGCATGCGATCTTTGCCCAATTTATTTAATAGTTATAACCGCCCTCTCATTACTTTGTGGTGTGACCACTGCTGCAGAATGACTACCAAAAGCAATGGGAAAATAGATTCCACTGAGGTATTTTGTTGTCGCTAAAGAAAAATCAGAGGCCAAACGTGAGTCTGGAGCTAAAAGCGATTAAATTAATAATAAAATAAAGAAAAACCAAACCATCAAATTGTAATTCCAAACAGCAACCTCATTATCATCTATTTGTTCTGGTCAAAGGAAAGGACAGACACTGTGAAATAGCCTGTTGTTCTGTTTACCGGCTATGTGGTGCTGCATTACAAATTCAGGAGGCATGCATCCATTTGGCTGAAACAGATACAATCATTGGTGGTGTTAATGAAAAAAGATCTGCCTCAGAGAGCTCTCCCCACTCGTAATATTCTTCATGTACATTACTTCTAATTGTCTCCAATAATGAGATCCCACTACTAGAAGCATTTTTTAGAGACCCAGGAATTTTTTGCAGGTTCTGAAGTAATTACAGCTGACAACCACTAGTCAGCAGATTCGCTTTTCACTGTTCATTATCGTCTGATGCCACCAGGGTAACACCCAGCACAAGCTGATTCTCTGGTCGTCATACTTCCTGACCCTATGTATTTCTCGGCTAAGTCATTACAAGGTGTGAACTACCAGCCAGGAAGGCATATCCACATGCACGACTCCATTCTTGAACAACGTAAAATGTGGGCTGACTAATGTTATTATTACCCAGTCGAACAATATCAACAGTGAAACTCGTTAGTTAGATATGCCAGGAACCGACAGGAAAGAGCCTACAGATATCCATTGCCGCCTTTTCAACCACACCCACACACTTCACAGTCCACTGACAAAAATAGACAGAATAGATAAAGAATTTATTAAAAAAATCACATAATCTTCATTTCTTTGTGCTTTTTTTTTTTTTATAAAGTCGTATTCCTTTTCGTTATCTCTTGCTCATTAAATTTTTTCACTATATGAAGCTACGAAAGAAGAAAGTAGAGTAGTGAGAAAGTACACAGCCTTAGTAGGACAGTGTTAGAAAAAAAAGGAACTAAAAATATGTCAACGTTAAATGAGGAAGGAAAACCTAAATTTGGCATCAGTTTCCAAATTGGGGCAAACGTAAAGTTCCGATGCAAAGGATATCCATAAGAGTGTCCTCAAACGTCCACGCTTTCCTCCTCACTATGAATGAAATTCCTAATGGGGCTATCCTAAAATATCTGCAGCGTTTCACACACTGACTCTTGCGCTGCCATTGCACCTGTGCGTGTAGTGCTTCCTTTAGGACTTAAATACCCTCAGGTGCATATAGTAACATCCTGGACTCCCAGACAGCTATATCCTGCTTTTTTCCCCTCTATCTCCCTCTAACTGACCCACTCTCTACTTCAGTCTGACTGGCAGTAGTTAAGAATGAACATGACCCTTACACTGACTTCTGCCAACCAAGCGGATGTCTTTTTAAATGGGGAGTCAGAAATGAAACATCAACATTAATTCCCTGCTAAATGATCCAATTGAATAATGGATGAGGGCACATGGAGATATGTAGATTTCCACCTTCTACCTTTATGAGCCTAATTGCTGCCATTCAAGCACATCTGAAGTCAGCTCATCCTCAACAGCAGACATGGCTACTATCAGTCAATAACGTTGGCTAAGCCTGTATCAAAGGGTAGCCTTTGCCGTCACAGATCCCTCATATTAGCTGTACTAACATCAAAGACAAAAAAACCTGTGATGTTATTCATATACTTGCACATTTGGGACTTCCAATGGGTAAATGCATCTTAAAAGATGCTCCGGTAGCATAAAAACAGTCTCAGTGGCACACAAAAATACACATTGGTCTTATCTTGAAACTTGAAACACATCCCAAACGATGTAGCGATCCTCTAAACACACACAGCGCGCACACACATAAACACAAACAGACACAGATTTTCTTACCTTGGTCTGGCAGCTGGCAAACATTAGGAGGAACAGTCATGTTCAGCACGTCATTGACAGCCGTGTCAACATAGTGTCCCCTCTGGACATCATGTTCGCTGTCGGTCTGGTCGCTCTCCTCATGGCCGCTGTCCTTCAGACTGTTCCCCTCCAGGTCCTTGAATGTCGATGTGCTACATGGGGGCCAGGAGGGAGGAAAGGGAAATGTTGATTAACTGTCACATCACCTAAAAACATGCTCTTTTTCATCCATCTCTAATGTGATGGTTTGTGACGACTTGTCTATCTTTCGCTTCGTGTCCCTTTTTGTGCTTTTTGTTGCTTTCTTTAACCTGGTGCATTTCCATCAATTTAAAGTGGATGAATACTAATTTACACTGGCTCTAAGTCTAAGTTAAGCACCACACCTTTTCAAAGAACAAAACCTCTTTCCAGCTTCTGTTTGCACTTCCATGTAATAAGAAGGGCGTTTAAATCTCCTGACAGCCTTCTTGGATTAAGTGGACATTTTTCAACTTCATAGATAGCAAACCAGCCACAGGATGTTTCAGCCAGGGACATTTTGGATGGATGCACTGACTTCAAGGACATCGCATTGAACAAACAGGAGGCACTCACTCACTACAATCAAACAAATACTGCAGTAATCAGGAATTCCTGGAAGGAAGATGGATGTAGAAAATGCTGGAAGCATACAAACTGAGCATCTGCCTTGTTTGGGGCTCACAGTCAATAAAGAGGGTGGGGTGTGGGGGCACAATCAACAGCTGCACAGTAACAGCGTGATTTCCCTTCACTTGATTTCCATCCCACTGGAACAAATTCTGCTTTACAAACAACACTAAATAGGGGTGAATATATGAACACGTGTTCATGCACGAGAGAGAGACAGAGGGGAAAAAACATGAATGAGTTTATGTAAAGACAGACGAGGGTGTTAGAGGTTAGAGGGGAGGAAGAAGACAGACTGAGGAGAAAATGAAAGTAAACAAATGTGCACAAAAAGTGTAAAGGAAGCAAAGGACAGTGCAAGGTAGCTGCATTCCATAGTGCGAGCCTCACATTCTCCAGTGTGGGAGAGAGGACTGCAGTGGAGGTAATGCTGGCTCTCTGATGTTATCACTGTAATTGCACCTGTCCCAGACCAGAGGCTCCCTGGCTCCTGAGGGGATTTCTTTGTAGTATGCTGCAGAGGCCCACACTTGAATGCTCTTTGTTTACATTAATGCAGGGATTCTTTTGGGGAGAAATTGCCATAATGGGTTTTCAAAAGGCTGGGATGGCCTCAAACAAAAGGAAGCCTGGAATGTTCTATAGCTGCAGGTAAGAAGGGAGAACTATAGTTTACAAAGTGAGACTGCTTACAAAACCCTCTTTGGCTTGAGGGAATTATGAAACCCATCCCAGTCTCCAGTCCTGAATTCCTCAAACCCTAGCCAAGATCTTGGTTTGGGTGAGCTGAATAACAATGCACAATGAAAACATTTATCCTTCTTTCCCTGACAAACGGGAAAAAAGGAGGCAATTATGGTCCATTCGTGACTGTTTTCTTTAAAAAAAAATATTTTAAACATAATATGACGATTAGGTAGTTGTTTCTTTTTTCCGTTTACCTGATAAAATTCAAGTTTATGTGTAATTAATGAAGCAAAGTGCATAAGTGTATCACACTTATCTGCAAATATGAAAATCATTACTTGCAGATTCTGCTGCCCTGTGTAATTTAATAATCCGAAAGTATGACTTTGTGCCTCATCCCAACAAGTGTCTACTAAACGCATTATTTTAGAGTAATACTATTTATCCTAAAATCTTATCCTCCCCTTGCAATTATACAGAATGAAGAACATGCAGGAACACATGAAAACTACTGCAACAGTAGCTGTGCACTCATTAGATAAAACAATTACAGATAACAATGGTAATGAGGTGCTGGTAACAATTCCTAATCAAGACATACCTTTTAATGAGGTGGGCTCTGCTGTTCACGTAACTGGAGTCAATGGAATAATTCTCCGTCTGTAAGAGAGTGATGGCGGAGCAGGTGGGGTGGGGGTTGTGGTGGAGGGATGATGGGGGCAACAGAGAGAGGTACTTTTAATAATGGAAGCAACCAAAATAATGTTACCAGTAATTGGCTTTCAGTAGAGATGTTATTTTACACAAAGGCCCTGGTGAGCAGCCTCGGCTTTCAAAGGGCTGAATCCTATTCTCTTTCAAAGCACACACACAGAGGGGCTGACTGGGAGTTGAGAGCTGAGGAGAGTGCTGCAGTGAGCGCAGCCTCTCTTCTCCTGTTCACCCTCCCTGCTCTCGATCCCTTGCTCCCTCCCTCCACTGCCGGTCAGCCCACTGTCTTTAAAATGGAGTCATAAGGGAGGACAGACTATCATGCAGACAGAGGGAGAAGAAAAGTTTCCCTCTGAACTCTTCACTTTTACCATGTTTGAGAAGACATTAATGTGGATATATTAAATAAATAACTGCGAGAGAAGTAGATGAAATTAAGAATGTACCAGGGGAATCTTAACTTTGCAATTGCAGATGAAAAGGCTTTCAGAATATGCATGCGATAGATCTCTGACCCACATTAGAGAATGCAGTTCAAAGAGATCTTACATTCATTTTTTTTCTTCCCAACATTTATTTAGCAAGGATAATGTCTGACGAGAAGAGCACACGGGCAGAGAAACTAGTGTAAACTAAGCAAGTAGACCCTCCCTGCATCTGCCAAGCGTCTACTTACACAAGGTAAGATGCCAGAAGGCCATAGGATATCAAATCCTCTCAAAGGACACGCTCAGTCCTGCAAAAAGCCGGGACGTGACCCTTTTGACAAGGTTTGATAAGATGCAGGTATTTTCTCCTAAAAGAAAGCGAGGCCCTTCACTTAAAATTCCATTGTGCAGATACTGTATCCTGATAACAGCTGAGTCCATGGCTGGCTTCCGAGGAAAGTCTACAGTGTACCGATATCAAAGCCCCGTTGAAAAAAGTCACCCTGATGGTAAGAAAGGTTAATGCTGGCACCGGAGCGGAGTTGCTTATTATCAAGTGAGCTGCACATTTGACAGAAGCCTGCTGTTGAGGTAGCAGTGGCCCTGCAGCTGTCATACGTGGTGACCAGACAGATTTGGATTAAAACTCAGTGTGCAACTGTGCGAACACTCTCCTTATTAGATGTTAATGGGGTTGAACATTTTGAACTTTTTCAACGTCTGAGTGGAAGTGAAACCCCAATGCAGATGAGTCTGTGCGGTGAGGTTGGGAGGGGCAGAGGAAATGTCAAACATCAGTCCCAGTTTTCTTGGATTTTTTTTTTCTCCCAATAAATAAATAAAAATAAATAAATAAAAGCGATGCTGGAAGATCACAGCGTTTACCCCTGGCGAACGGCTCCTGTGACCTATTTGCAGTTAATGTTAATTTGTTCAGATTGATGCCATTCTCACCTGGCTTTAATAACAAAGTGTGCCGTCGTTATTTGTCAGAGTCTGACACACGTCGTGTCCCTACAGTGGATAAAAACGTTTCTATAGCACAAGCCTGTTTATCTTTAAATAGTCTGACGTGCACTACGTCTGTCTTAAATAAGCACAAGAGCTCCTGCTTGCCTTCTCACTTCCTTTATGCCTCATTATTTTTTTTTTTGCATGAAAAATGCATGATAATAAGCAACAGTGCAACGTGGGCTTCTGATTGGGGTTTGTTAAATTATGATGCAATATATTTATGCACTGAAGGTTAACATCATTCCTTTTCCCTTTTACCATTTACCCCTAATTAAACTTTAACTCATTAAAATGGGGAAGATAATTCATTAAAAAAAGGAATTTAATTAACATTTTATTATTATCCCATAATTTGAAGCACGCAGTGTTTGTTCCTTTGTATTACCCCTGACTCCTTTTGTTCCTGATCAGCTTGAGTCTTTTTTATATCAAAGGTAACCTGTAAACCAAATAAATCAATAATTAAAGATTTTAAAGTATGCTATTTTTCACGGATATCTGCGTAGTGCTCTATCAGATTGTCTCTGCGCATTGCTGTAACGATTCCAGTGCAGATACTTGATCTGCTACTGCGTTACATTATTACCTACGCTGCATTTTGATCGCAGTGTACACGCATTAAACTGCTTCATCTGCTATAGCGGCTGTGCATCCAGGAAAACAGAAATGAAAATGCAAGGCGTGAGTAACAAGGAGAAAACTTAATTTAAACGACAAGATAGAAAATTTTCTTGTAAATGTCACCCTGGCTGCCGCCTGTAATTGGTGTGGTTAACATGTTCTATGTGAGCATGCCTTAGAGTATATGCATTAGAGTGTATGCCGCTGCTCTCACGCTGTCCCTGTACTGAAAATGAACTGTATTTTTGATAATGCAAATATCAGATAATGATTTTACATCAAGCTCTTTCAAGAGTGTACAACGCAAAGAGATTCCTCATAATATTCTAGTCGATAGTGTTGCATCACCATCTCTTCCACATCAGCTCTTCATCCACTTTACAGCTCCCCATTAACCAAGAATGTGGTTTATTTTCTCCACTTATCAAATTGTTAGTGGAATTAGGCGAACGCCTATCATGTGAAGGCTTATTCTTGTCCACTGATGAGTCAGTTGGTAGTGCCTATTCTGAGGAATAATAGCTTGAACTTCCTGTAAAGAAATGTAATGTCTTCCCCCACATTTCTAACCAACCTCAAATTGGAGGACATGTCAATATATCTTGCTGGGAGGTCAGGTTTCAGGCAAGAGGATGAGGACTGCTTAACTACAGCGAGGATGCCACAAATGGCTACTTAATCAGGTTGGACAATGTGTTGTTGTGATTTGAGCGGCCCCAGTTTGGCGGCCAGAGCCACTCTATCCCCATAATTATTGTTCCGTTTCATCTGGAGGGCTGGAGGCAGGAATGTAGTCCCTGGTGTCGCCGGGTGACTGATAGGTAGTGTCAGCATGAGTGGGGAGCGGAGTGAAAAGAGAGTAGAGAGGAGCGAGAGACGGTGAAGATGGGAGGAAATGGGTGAGACTTGACCTCTGGGAGACTTGCTGTCCAGTTGCTGCAGCCCAATAGCTTTCCCCTTTTCACCCCTTGCTTCTTTCTCTCCAGCAAAACCCGAAGCACAGGGACGGTGGACTTGCTTCTCTGCAGCTGAGAGGAAAAGCAATCTCCTCGCCTAGTTGCTGCCGTAAGATTTGATTTGCCTTCCTCCCAGCGTGACAATTGGTTCTGCAGTCTGGATGCAAGTGTATTCATTGTGTGGGGGCATGGGAAGCACCAGAGAGAAGAGGAGGAGTGGGGGAGTGAAGACACCAGTTGTTACACCAGTAAACACCCGACAAGTTCAGCAGATGTCACACAGATAGGAGAGAAAAAGAGAGAAAAAAAATGTCACACAGCTGCCCTACTGTATGTATTATTGAGGCTGATATGGCACAGAGTAACATTTAAACAAGGAAAAAACATCATGCACTAATGACATGCTATTTAAAAAAGATGCTGCTAACAGCTATTTGCTTTATACTTAAATTGGTTTTCCATTACAATCTAAAGAAAACAAGTGGAATGAAACATGATATATATCATATATATATACATATCATATATATATGTGTGTGTGTGTTAAAAATTAAAAATGCAAAAGATTAAGTTTCACTTTAATACCAGAGCAATCAACCTTTTTCTGAAATACAGCAAGAATGACACGTCCTTGAAGACATTTGGGTGACGGGGGCTTTAAAAAGGCTACGCATCTAAAAGTAAGACAACATAGTTACAGATATGAGCGATTCGCATCTGTCATGGATGCAACTCTAAAATGTCATCAATTTAGCTGACAAAAAACATCCAGCCGTACTCCATGTGGACACAAAATGCTCTTACTGCCACACTGAAATGCACAGTTTAAAGATAAAGAAAAACAGACCAGAGAGAATCTATTACAACTGTCAGATTAAATTTTGCATTTGAGCAGACCTCCACTTTGTGTTTGAGCAGTCTGTGGTTGTGCCTCAGTCTTTGTTTATCAAGGACTCCCTTTGGCCTCACAAGGAAATGTTAAACATAATGTTCCCTGTTATTGATATCCCATTGCTAAAGCAAGGGATGAGAGGGAAGCAATCCGGGCAGGTTAAAGGAAAAACCAGCTGCAATTAGGGAAGAAAGAATGGGTTCATTATCCCTCTAGGTTCAACTAAAAGAGTTGAAAAAAGTAAGAAAGCGAGGAAATTAAAGAAAAGAATAAAAGTTTATGAAAGTGACTGTTAACACATATATAAATTTGGGTTTTTTTAAGTTTATTTATAAAACCCAATATATTTCATATTGACACCGACAGTTTCATATTCCTTTTTTATTTCTTAATACTCTTTTCTAAATGTACACTGCGAATATGAGCTTTCATCCTCTCGCACATACACACCCTCTATCTGCACTTCCCTACAAAAGCACTGCTCCAGCAATCCCTGACTTGCAGGTCTGTGCTGGCGCCCGCTGTCCTCGTCTTTAGGTCTGCACCCAGGAACGTCTCTAAGCAGCTCAGACTCAGTCTGCTTCTTATATTGTTTACCGTGTAAGAAAAAAAAGGAAAGTTTTTCGGCTCCTGAGATGCAATAACCCTCACTAGCTTCCAAACCTTTGCCCTCTAACCCAGTGACCACCATCACCACTTTCTTCCTGATTATAAAATTTCCCATAGACCCTCTGCCATCTGCTAGATTATAGATTTCCCTCTTCCTTTAGAGAGGCCCCGGCCCCTGAGGGAGGATCAGCGGTAAAAAGGGTGAAAGAGTGCCTGAGGCACAGCCGTGGTCCTGGATGAGATTACGTTTTCTATTTCTGCCTGCTTAAAGGGGTCTGCTGTGATGAATACAGAGAGTTGTTACTATTTAATATTAACTGACTCTCCTGTAAACTCAAATTATACACAATCAATTGTGATAGAGGGGAGCACGTGTGACAAATAACCTGCCACATTGTCTGCATCATTTCACTTCATCAGCCATCAATT